AGAGTAGAGCAGAGCCCTTGGTGTGATGTGCCTCTCCCCTTTATGAAGCATGCACAGCTGTAGGGGGGATGGACTTGGCCTAAAAGCAGTGGAGGGATGCAGTTGTTTGGGCACTGGTAGGAACCCTCAGCTGGCCTCTTGATGACCCAGAAATTACTCCAAAGGGACATGGCTTCCCATAGATCACATGCTGTGTGTCCTGGAGGAGACATTTGGTTATGTTGGGCAATGCAGGCATCTGTCTTGGCCCTGCAGCCTGTTTGTACGTCACTGAATCAGATAAAYGCACTGAATTAGATTAACTTTATACAYTGTAAAGCAGGGTCTCTGCTTTATACTGCAAGGTGCTCACATAGTAGTGGAAGGCATCTGGGGACATTTGAGATGGCTGAGGACATTCCCCTCCGGTCATCATGATAAATGTGGCCRAGTCCAGTTGGAGGCCTGTGGCCAGTGGTGCCCCCAGGGGTCAGTACTGGGCCTGGTGCTGTTCAACTTGTTCATCAATRACCTGGACGAGGAGGAACTGGATGAGGGGTAACTTCTTTACTGTGAGGGTGACAGAGCAGTGAAACAGGCTGCCCGGGGAGGTTGTGGAGTCTCCTTCTCTGGAGGTCTTCAAAACCCGCCTGGATGCCACCCTGTGCCACATGCTCTAGGTGTGCCTGCTTGAGCAGGAAGGTTGGTCTAAATGATATCTATAGGTCCCTTCCAACCTTTAAGATTCTGTAATTCTTTGATCACCTAAAGATCCATGAGGATTCATGTCCCACATTTGCTCCATCAGAGCAAGCAAACAGGGGCACCTTTGTGGTATCTCCTCTGTCTCTTCAAGCAGGTGTTCAGGTGTTGTCCGCTGACTCACACCCCCCATTACCAGTGGTTATAAGGGGAGCTTAGAGAAGGAGCTCCCATGCACATCAGTGCTGTGCACACTTCAGCGTGGGCGAGCATCATCCCACCTTGTGTGTGTTTGTGGAGTTCACAGGCGGAATTTGAAAGACATCCCAAAGCAAGGGCTTGTGAAGTAGCATGGAATGCCCAGACTGACTCATCTGAATCCATGAATGTCCTTCTTAGCCCTTTCTGATTGTCCTGCCTAGTAGGGTCTTCCTAAGTAGGGCCTTCCAGAGTGAGACATTTATAAATTGCAGAGATAGTCATCTGATGAAATAGACTGCAATTTTGGAATCCTTCTTTCTGATTATGACAGGACCACAGGTGTGATTCTTTTAGTTGTTTCGTGCCCATATCCCAGGAGAAGGAAACACAAGGGACAGGGCAATTGGTGAGTTCAGCTGGGCCTCTGCTCCTGAGCGGGGCCAGGCTCCTGGGACGGAGGCAGCTCGTGGCAGCCTGTGAGCCCTGCCCAGAGACACTGTGTGCAACTGCTGTGCCAAGAGCAGCAGGGCTGCGGGCACTGCCTGCTGCTGCACACAGCAGAGGAGAGAAGGCAGCGAGAGGTGAAGGGCAGTGTGGAGCAGGAGCACAGAGAGCTTGTGGTGGGAGGAATCTTGGCAGCCCTTGGCACGGTGAGTCTCTGGCTGCAGGACCTGGCTACTTCCTTTGCTGCAGGGTGTACTCAACCGAGCTCTGTCTTGCGGGAAATTATACCTTTCTTAAGACTCCCTCTCCTGACTCGAGCAGTGCAGAGGAGAAGATGCTTCAGGTCAGGGATTCCTACCACACTGTCAAAGGGACAGGACATCCTCCTGGCTTCACCCATGGCAGCTGCAGGGATGTGAAGCTCGYGTGTSCACAGYRTCCTGCCWGAGCTCTAATCCAGAGCCGTGTCCCTGCACCCAATGGTGCTGTGTGCCCGGGGCAGTGACTGTGCCGCCTGTGCGGGTCAGCACTCAGCCTGCTCGGGAGCTCCCAGGACA